GTTTGCTCCTGAACAGTAATGTAACTTCGCTCTCTCCACCCAAGGCATCATATTGACTTGTCATACACAATTGTAATTGTATATGTGACTCAATAAATATTATATTATATTATATACAAGGTTGATATTGGAATTGATATTGATGAGATTGGATGATTGGATAATAGAATGTACTTGTCTCCCCCCCCCCTTCTCTACAGACTAAAAACTCAATTGTCCAAGATGCAAGGTCCAATATTTTCTGCAATCTCCCTAACTTTGAAAGAAACTTTTCTGGAGAAGAATATTCAGTAGTTATTTATTTTTTCCAGATGTATTTTCTTGCATGTCCATCCCTAACTTCATTCTTATGAATCTGCTGAATTTTACCATCATTTGCAACAATTTCTGAAGGTGTATTACTTACAATTCAAGCCTTCATATAAAACAAACACAATATATAATGTTTTCATTGACAACTCTTGTACCTCATACAGACCAGAATCTTTTCATTTTTTATTTCTCACACAAACAATATACTTTCATGGGTTGTTATCTGAAAGAACCTGATTTTACAGTGCAAGCAACATACCAACTTACCAAGGAATTTATCTGGTACTATAAAAGTTTCATCGGGCTTCAGAAGAGCAGGATATGTAACTCCAACATTGTTTCTGGAGTCATGGTACAATTTGTTCCTGCCTAGATCCCAACCCCATGATTGGTCATTGCTGCCTACCAAGCTCTGGAAAGAAAAATGTATTAATGAGCACTATATATGAATAGTGAAAATAAAATTACAAATGGGTAATATTTTTGTGGTGTATAACAATTTTTTTCACTAGCATATACAACACAAATAAAAATAATAATAATTAATGTAACCACCACCAGGTGTAAGATTTGTAATTTCCCTCCTCCTCTCATAATAAATGTAATGAAAATCATTCATTTACTAATAAGTTGTGATAAAACTATATTTTCAAAGGTCTGACATTGGAAGCCTTCACTGGGCAGTATGTGCCAATGCATCAGTTCCAATCACTATGCTCATGCAGTATCAAAATAAATAAGTTATAAATAAATAGTAACCATGGCATATTTAGACCTAATTTTCTGAAGAGATAAAAATAATGCAAATTTAGGGTGTATGTATGGCAAATTTTCTTTGTATTAAATATTTCCTGGTTGATTACTTATTTTAACTTTATTAAACATTTCAATAAAAAAATGTATTACAAACTGTCAAAAAAAATGCATTATAATACTCATGTTTTTAGGCTGGTGGCTGTAAAGCCATAGAAAAAAATAAAAATGGTAAGAATAAATGGGTCAGAGTGAACAAGTGTAAAATTAATAACATTCTTGGAGATTATTTTGTCTAGATCTGCAAATGTGCAACTTCAAATGGCATAGAGAAAAAAGAAAAGAAAAAAGAAGAAAAGCGACCAAAAAATAAAATATTTAATACTAAGCAGTGGTCTATAACAGCAAAAATGCTGTGCAACTAACTAAATCACAATGGTTTTCCAAAAGATAGCATGCAACTGTTTAAGAACAAAGTAAATACTTTTGTACAATATTATAGAAAATTAAATATTTTAACAGTACAGTGTGTATTATTACTGCACACAATATATACAAAAGTTCACACAATGCTCTCATCCTTCTCTATGACCACTGCTTATTGTTGATACCTTTCTCACATCTGTTCACCATATTTGTATCTTTGAATTCTTGTATAACCTTTGGATTGCATAGAAAAACTGACTGGGGGTTTTCTCCTTTTCAAGTATTGCTGTCTCTTTCCTATGTAATATGCTGGCTGGTAATCAATAAATTTTATAAGAGTTGGGATTTCTATTTCTTCTTTTGTCTATTAACATTTATACGGTTGGCATCTGTAGTAATAGTTCTCTTTCAAAACCCACTTTGCCCTCCTCCCATGGTATTCTTACTTACTTCATTAAAACTGATTCTTAGCACATTTGCTTTTATGTGGATTATGTTGACAACAATGTGATTTCCTTGTGATTGTCAGAGTTTTAACTCAAACTTTCTTTTTTTTTGGTGAAAATTCTTAACATAAATCTCCTACCATAATATTTTTTTCCTCTTGCCATACTCAGATCTATATGAGGGAGTTTTCGCATGCCTTGGCAGGCAGCAATTGTCTGCAATCTCTATCCTCTGTGCACATGCAGATGCACAAAAGTGACGCGAAACTTTGTCTGAGAAGATGCAGAAGATCGATAGTGTTGTTGATTGCTTTAACATTCGACGATGCAAAAACTCCCTAAATACTTCATCTGACCAGAGGCTTTTTGAATTAGTTTTCTTATTACTGTATTTAGTTCTAAACTCAGAAGAATGAGTAATTCATCACTGTCAATAATGTGACTTGTTCTTTCTAACTCTTTATTATAAGTGAGAGTTGATTTTTTTCAGAGTTAAGTAGGATTTTATTCAGTTTTCTCCTAGATGCAGTCTTTTGGCATGTTCTACGGCAAACATTTTTCCTCTTTCCTATCTGGTGGCATTACGTTTTTTAAGGATTGAAATTAAAGATGAAATTGGCATCAAATTTCAAAAGTATTGTGACTTGACAGGTTATTAATGTCTACATTAATACATGGTAAGTAATGAAAACTCATTTCAAGAAGTTACAGCAGGCACATTACCACAATCTTCAGAACTTTGTGCTTGAGGGTATATAGCAAAAGCCAAAAACTGTCAAAGGGAAGTTTGTGGAACTTGATATATTTCATATCTATATCTATATCTATATCTATATCTATATAGAGATATAGATATAGATATAGATATAGATATATAAGCATTTTTATATCCAAAATATTGTTGAAATCTTAGTTTTCTCATTTACCTTGATACAAGATATCTTGAAATCTTGGGTGAAGATATATGTATCACAACTTGATAGATTTCAAGATATCTTGATCCAAAATATTTTGAAATTATCTTTTTTGTTTTGATAACAAAAATGCCAATTTAAAAGAAAGCTACAATACACTTTATACAGGAATGTCTACGTAATTATGAATTCTCACCTGGTAGCCAACAGAATGTAGAGGTGCATCTTGTGTTGCAACACCAACAACAGCATGAGTGCCACGTTGCCTAGTGGACCAATAAACCTCCCACACATGCAAGCCCTTGGTGAGACCTACTTTCCCTCTGATACAGTCTGTGCTCTGAGCCACAGGATGCCTGTGGAATGTCAATTTGTCATCCTCCTTCACAAAAGAAGAGATAAGAACATTAGCAATTTTATACACATTTTTATAGGTAATGTAAAAGTTCATCTCTCAAGCAACATTATATGTTAATCGAACAAGAAAAAATGTCTTACAGCGAATTCAGCACATAAATAAGAAAGTACAAAGTAATTACAATACTTAAACATGTGTTAAAAAGACATACTAAATTAACTTATCATTTACTAGGATAATAAAGAAAACAAAGCATAATTTTCTTTCTCTAAATGCAAGAAAATGAGAAACCCACTGGCCTTATTACAACGAAATTCCTGTTCAATAATTCTTAAAGAAGTTTATATGCAACATTTGTAACAATTGTGAGATACAGCAATGAAAAGGGGGCATGAATAACTACAATCCAACTAGCAATGGTCTAGCAAGTAAATAAATAGTTTAAACGTACAAAGAGAATGTTTTGGCTAGATATATTTCAAACAATCTCACATCAAATGTGAGACAACGTAAACAAAAACATGAAGAACAAATTGTTCAGGATGGTGGCAAAAGATTTTTCTCTTACATACGAAGACAAACCAATTGTAAAACTGGTCCTCCTATGATTATCACAAATGGAGACTCTGTAATAACTGACCCAAGTGAAATTGCGGAATGTTTTTCTAATGATTTCAGAAAGATATATACTGTTGAACCAGAAGGTCCACTGCCGACCGTTGAAGAGAGATGTTCCGGAATTATTGAAAATATAGAATTTTCAAATATTGACACTGCCCAGATAATGTGCGGACTGAATGCAAACTCATCCACCGGACCCGATGGTGTTCCAACCGTGTATCTGAAAAATTGTAATTTACAACTTGCTCCCTTACTGAATAAAATATTCAAGCAA